CACTGTACAGCATAATTCCGCATGAAGTAGGTTTGGAGGCAGTGAAACATTTTTTAACTGTAGCTCATTTTGACATTGAACAAAGAGATTTTATATTAGAAGGCATTCGCATTATTTTAACCAATAATTTTTTCTGGTTTCAAGGTACATTTTATCTCCAGATCAGGGGCACAGCGATGGGCACCAAATTCGCACCCAGTTATGCCAATTTGTTTATGGCGTATTGGGAGGAGACCCATGTTTTTTCAGAGCATCCCTGGGTGTCGAATTTGGTGTCCTATCGACGATATATAGACGATATTTTTTTCATTTGGAACGGCTCATGTTATCTTTTAGAAATGTTTTTAGCCTTTTTATCATCTAACGAATGGGGAATCGTTCTTACCACCATACAGAGTTCATCCAGCATTAATTTTTTAGACCTTCAAGTTTTTATTGAAGATCAGCAAATTAAAACCAAAAATTTTTTTAAGCCAGTGGACGCCAACGGGTATATAGAAAAAAAAGAGTTGCCATCACAAACCTTGGCTAGAAAATGCCCCAAAGGGCCAGTTCCTACGAATTCGGCGGAACTGTACGAACGAACAAGATTTTATCATTCAAGCGAACATCATCAAGAAACAATTTCTGGAAAAGGGCTACGAAGAGACTAAATTGACTAAAGCTATGAAAGAAATTCAAGACACCCCGAGAGAACAATTATTATCCTATAAATCACATCAGAAAAAAAATTTAAACAATAACGAAGCCCACTTTATATGTAATTTTAATGGGAATAATAAAAAAATAAATAGAGTCATAAACAAACATTGGTATATACTACAAAAAGATCCTATTCTAAGAAGCTTGTTACCAACAAAACCTAAAATTATCTATAGAGGTGCTGCCAATCTAAAAAGATCTCTAGTCCACAGCAGTGAGGGCCCATTGAAAAATGCGTCACACTTTTTGAATCAGAGAAAAGGCTTTTTCGGGTGTGGTACATGCTTAGCATGTAGAACAACAAAAAATCCTAAACGACACGTAAGAAATTTAAACGAACAAACAGAGATCGATTTTATTTTGAAAGACCAATTAACATGTTTCTCAAAAGGAGTCATCTATTTATTAAAGTGTCCCTGTAATTTATTGTATATAGGCAGGACTATTAGAACTTTAAATGTCCGCATATCCGAACATGTTCGAAATATTAAAAAAGGTTTGGAAACCCATAGCGTTTCTAGTCACTTTAAAACCCACCATAACTGCAATCCAGAACACCTCTTCTTTTGTCCACTAAAAATAGTTAAAAAAGATTGGAGAGGAGGAGATTATAACAAAAAAATAGGCTCTGAAGAGATGAAATTTATTTTTAATTTCAATACCTTAATTCCCCATGGTCTTAATTCAGATTTTGAGATCTGTCATTTTATTTAACTTTTAAATTTGGGTCTTAATTCTTCTTTTTACCTATCGGTATTATCACTTATCTTGTGATTTTATATCTTCACATGTTATTTGTTTGCACTATAAGAGTTGGCACTTTAAATACCTACACTAGATGTGGATGTATATTGAACAATTGATTGATTTTAATAGTTATTAATTTTGTTTGGCTTTTATTTTTTTTATTTTTTTCCCTTACTCTCTCTGTTATGTCACCTCACTAATTGTGTGAGATATGGACTCTCCATTTTTGAAGACTTTTTCAATTTGCACAATGGAGAATAATATGTTTTCACTAGCTTTATATTATTAATGGGAAAAAAATGGACTGATTTACAGTGGAACGCATGGATCTGACACCATGCGTTCCAGTGATGTCATTAGTGTGTGCCAAGATCGCAAAGCGGAACCGGAAGTGACACGCACTGAACCGGCGGTGGAACGCAGAATGCGTTCCACACGGAGAAAATCCGGAAGAAGAAGAAATTGTGGACGTATAAAGGCGCCGAAAGGCTCACACTCACAAACACTGACTGACACCAACTGAGGAAGCCCTTGTCACAGGGCGAAACGCGTTTTGGAGAGACACAGTCTACAGGTTCAACTCTGTTTTGGACCATTTCGTTTAGTTTTTATTTTATTGCACAATATTATTTGGAAAGTTTTTTTTCCTTTTATAATAAAGTCACCAACTTTTGGATTAACATATTGGAATAGTGCAATTCTTCCATCATCACCTTCCTAACCCTGAAGGATAAACACCAAGAAGGATGGGGACATCCTATTAAGAGTCCCACTGCGCTGCACATAAGAGCCATATGTCAGACTGGCTCTAGGCTTGTGAGTAACATTGCTCTGCTGCTGTATACTTTATTTTATTTCATACAGTCTACACTATGATGTTTTGTTCTTTTTTTTAGAACCTACAGAAGTGTGTTCCACCTATTGTATGTATATTTTGTATTTCTTGTAAGTGGTAGAAGGGGTTTCCACTTAGGTGGTTTGTAGCGGTTTAGCTACCACATTCTTTTCTCTTACTGTATATCTATTTCTTTGCACTTTATATTGTAATTAAATCCCCTTGGATATACAGTAGAGGATTCCAATCCTTCTTCAATACTGATCAGCATATTGCTATACCATAACTATCTTTCTAAGTATGTCTTATTTGGAAGACAGAAATTATACAATCAAGGATATAGACCTTATGTTTGCCCCTATGGCGGACACCAATAGTGAAAAAAGCTATGTAAATGCAGATAAAAGTAGAAACAATTTAGAAAAAAGCTTGATACGCGAAATGAAAATTAAATGGGAGATAGCCACTCTTAAAAAATACGTTAAAGAACAAATCACACCGAGGGGACTCAGATTTGAGAAAGACCCAACATTTGATAGAGATGACTCTTGTTTTATGACAGGGTGGAACAAGCTCCTGGAAGGATTTTCCTTCAGTATGATAGGATACATTGTATCCAGACGAGAAGAAAATTTAATACATCTAAATGAGGAAATCATGTCCTGGAAACAACAGCTTAGTGAGACAACTAACCCTGAAACATTTAATCAGATAATAAGAGACATTAAAATTAAAGTAGAAAAAGTAGAAAAAGATACTATTGAAATAAAAAAAAGGAAATACCAAAGAGACATTAACGATTATAAGACTGGCAATATAAGATTTCCTAAAAGATCCCATTCTAACAAACAGAACTATAGAAAGAACCAATGGCGAACTCAGGAAGAAGTGAGTTCATCATATAATAATCACAATACTCACTATAGAAATGAGTCAGAATCATACTCCCATAGAGATGTACAAAGAAGGAACATGTATAGGAATAGAGAACCACTCCAGGCCACATATAGACATCCCCATAACAGACGAGATCACCAAAATAGAAGCTATAGTGATGTAGTGAAACAGGGTTTAGACCCACACGATGAGAGATCCCCACATGGAAGTAGCCTCAGAATAAGGAGAATGCCCTCACAGAAACAAGGAGAAACAAGAGAATATGAAAGAAAAAAGAGACATTCTCCTGAACGAACACAAAGCTACAGAGATACAGGTACTATAGAAAACCACCATCAGAATCCTCGTTCCAAATTTGATCCAATTAGGGAACAAAGAAGGAACGGGAAAAAATACAGACATCATGAGGATACAACGAGACTCACACAAATTAAGGAAAGAATGCCAGAAGAGCCTCAAACAGCACAAGCATCTTCGCCCTCGGTTTTTTGGAGGGGACCAATTCAGGAGAGACTCAAATGGCGAGAGAACCCCCCATCATGGGAATCCCCGGGCAAACGCCAAAGATCAACAGATTATGAAACAGAAGAGGAAGAAATAAGAAACAAAGAAAAAAGGGGGAAGATGTAAATTCAGATGGAATTTTTAACCTTACAGACCATGTTTTAACAAAAGAGGAATTAAAAATACTGAAAAAAGGTCTAAAATTTGCACCGACACAGGAATTAAACAGATTTGATCTATTTATAGATATGAATAGATTTGTAAGGAAACTATGCTTAAAAAAGTTTTTTTATAATGGGGAAAATAGGATGCAAATAGAACAAGATCAGGAGAATGAATCTAATTTTATACATACAGAATTAAAAGAAAGGTCCAAATTTTTTCCTAAACACATGATTTCGAATGAAATGAGAGCTTTTGAAACCACGGTTATGGCAGAAATAAATAATATAAAAAAATTAAACAAATATCAAGATAATATGTCAGTAAAAGAACGATATACCTTAAAACAAATTCAAAAAAATAAAGACATAGTTATCAAACCGGCGGATAAGGGAGGGGGGATAGTTATTCTTTCCAAAGCACAATACCAAGAAGAATCAGAGAGAATTCTCTCCGATGAGAGAACGTATAAAAAACTCAAATCGGATCCAACTGGCAAAGTAAAGGGAATATTTGAAGAATATATACAAAAAGGTATAGATAAAGGGATACTAACAAAAAAAGAAGGAGAATATCTTTCCATCCCCCACCCAAAAATACCAGTGTTCTACTATCTTCCCAAAGTTCACAAAGATCAAAAAAATCCCCCGGGACGCCCGATCATATCCGGAATAGACTCCATTTCTTGTAGAGTCTCGGAATACATCGATTTACTACTACAACCAATAGTAGTGAAAAATCCAGCATACTTAAAAGATACTATGCACATACTACAACTTTTGGGAACCACGAAATGGGAAGATAATCACCTATTGGTGACAAGCGATGTCACGTCACTGTACAGCATAATTCCGCATGAAGTAGGTTTGGAGGCAGTGAAACATTTTTTAACTGTAGCTCATTTTGACATTGAACAAAGAGATTTTATATTAGAAGGCATTCGCATTATTTTAACCAATAATTTTTTCTGGTTTCAAGGTACATTTTATCTCCAGATCAGGGGCACAGCGATGGGCACCAAATTCGCACCCAGTTATGCCAATTTGTTTATGGCGTATTGGGAGGAGACCCATGTTTTTTCAGAGCATCCCTGGGTGTCGAATTTGGTGTCCTATCGACGATATATAGACGATATTTTTTTCATTTGGAACGGCTCATGTTATCTTTTAGAAATGTTTTTAGCCTTTTTATCATCTAACGAATGGGGAATCGTTCTTACCACCATACAGAGTTCATCCAGCATTAATTTTTTAGACCTTCAAGTTTTTATTGAAGACCAGCAAATTAAAACCAAGAATTTTTTTAAGCCAGTGGACGCCAACGGTTATATAGAAAAAAAGAGTTGCCATCACAAACCTTGGCTAGAAAATGCCCCAAAGGGCCAGTTCCTACGAATTCGGCGGAACTGTACGAACGAACAAGATTTTATCATTCAAGCGAACATCATCAAGAAACAATTTCTGGAAAAGGGCTACGAAGAGACTAAATTGACTAAAGCTATGAAAGAAATTCAAGACACCCCGAGAGAACAATTATTATCCTATAAATCACATCAGAAAAAAAATTTAAACAATAACGAAGCCCACTTTATATGTAATTTTAATGGGAATAATAAAAAAATAAATAGAGTCATAAACAAACATTGGTATATACTACAAAAAGATCCTATTCTAAGAAGCTTGTTACCAACAAAACCTAAAATTATCTATAGAGGTGCTGCCAATCTAAAAAGATCTCTAGTCCACAGCAGTGAGGGCCCATTGAAAAATGCGTCACACTTTTTGAATCAGAGAAAAGGCTTTTTCGGGTGTGGTACATGCTTAGCATGTAGAACAACAAAAAATCCTAAACGACACGTAAGAAATTTAAACGAACAAACAGAGATCGATTTTATTTTGAAAGACCAATTAACATGTTTCTCAAAAGGAGTCATCTATTTATTAAAGTGTCCCTGTAATTTATTGTATATAGGCAGGACTATTAGAACTTTAAATGTCCGCATATCCGAACATGTTCGAAATATTAAAAAAGGTTTGGAAACCCATAGCGTTTCTAGTCACTTTAAAACCCACCATAACTGCAATCCAGAACACCTCTTCTTTTGTCCACTAAAAATAGTTAAAAAAGATTGGAGAGGAGGAGATTATAACAAAAAAAATAGGCTCTGAAGAGATGAAATTTATTTTTAATTTCAATACCTTAATTCCCCATGGTCTTAATTCAGATTTTGAGATCTGTCATTTTATTTAACTTTTAAATTTGGGTCTTAATTCTTCTTTTTACCTATCGGTATTATCACTTATCTTGTGATTTTATATCTTCACATGTTATTTGTTTGCACTATAAGAGTTGGCACTTTAAATACCTACACTAGATGTGGATGTATATTGAACAATTGATTGATTTTAATAGTTATTAATTTTGTTTGGCTTTTATTTTTTTTATTTTTTTCCCTTACTCTCTCTGTTATGTCACCTCACTAATTGTGTGAGATATGGACTCTCCATTTTTGAAGACTTTTTCAATTTGCACAATGGAGAATAATATGTTTTCACTAGCTTTATATTATTAATGGGAAAAAAATGGACTGATTTACAGTGGAACGCATGGATCTGACACCATGCGTTCCAGTGATGTCATTAGTGTGTGCCAAGATCGCAAAGCGGAACCGGAAGTGACACGCACTGAACCGGCGGTGGAACGCAGAATGCGTTCCACACGGAGAAAATCCGGAAGAAGAAGAAATTGTGGACGTATAAAGGCGCCGAAAGGCTCACACTCACAAACACTGACTGACACCAACTGAGGAAGCCCTTGTCACAGGGCGAAACGCGTTTTGGAGAGACACAGTCTACAGGTTCAACTCTGTTTTGGACCATTTCGTTTAGTTTTTATTTTATTGCACAATATTATTTGGAAAGTTTTTTTTCCTTTTATAATAAAGTCACCAACTTTTGGATTAACATATTGGAATAGTGCAATTCTTCCATCATCACCTTCCTAACCCTGAAGGATAAACACCAAGAAGGATGGGGACATCCTATTAAGAGTCCCACTGCGCTGCACATAAGAGCCATATGTCAGACTGGCTCTAGGCTTGTGAGTAACATTGCTCTGCTGCTGTATACTTTATTTTATTTCATACAGTCTACACTATGATGTTTTGTTCTTTTTTTTAGAACCTACAGAAGTGTGTTCCACCTATTGTATGTATATTTTGTATTTCTTGTAAGTGGTAGAAGGGGTTTCCACTTAGGTGGTTTGTAGCGGTTTAGCTACCACATTCTTTTCTCTTACTGTATATCTATTTCTTTGCACTAACAGCCTAATGTCTGCTCTTATGAGATTAACCTACTTGGGGAAAAAAAATTCCATCTGGGGCTCTCTGCAGTACAAGGCTAAATAGGGCCCTGGGATGAGGCACCTGTGACAGGGAGGGGTGCAAAACCAAGGAGTTGGCTAGACTCCCAAATATATATAAAACAAGAGGGGTTGGCTGCACTCACCTTAACATGCATAAATGGGGGTGCTGCTGGGGGCCAAATAATACAATACACAAGATCCAGCGCACTCACCTATCCACTAAACAGCAACTTCAATGTTGAAAGATTTTGTTTTTTTAAAAACACCTAATCTAGGCAAAAATAATGGGGGTTTAGTTACATTATATGATCATACAGTGCATAAGCCTGCCACAACGTCAATGTACCCCATCTTTGGCAGGTCCTACACTAACAGCCTAATGTCTGCTCTTATGAGATTAACCTACTTGGGGAAAAAAAAATTCCATCTGGGGCTCTCTGCAGTACAAGGCTAAATAGGGCCCTGGGATGAGGCACCTGTGACAGGGAGGGGTGCAAAACCAAGGAGTTGGCTAGACTCCCAAATATATATATAAAACAAGAGGGGGTTGGCTGCACTCGCCTTAACATGCATACCTTGGGTTGTATATTTAATTAATATCATTCTACGTGTATTTTGATATATATATATATATATATATATATATATATATATATATATATATATATATATATATATATATATATATATATATATTTGTGTAAGGGGCAAATTATCCATACCGATACGGTAGGCCTGTAAATAAAGAGGGCCCACCAAGGAGAAGAAAGTAAAGTAAATGGAAAGAAAAGAGAAAGTGTTGAAATGAGGAGTGGGTGGGAGGGTCATTCTGATGCTGACCTCAAGCGATATGAGTCAGGTAAGGGGTGTCCCTTATATAGGGAAGTGAATTAATTTAAGCCCCTCCCACAAATACAGGCCAAATGGCCTTAAAACTTGTGTTCGGGGCAAATAGCCGTATATGGAGTAAGGTTCCAGCATAAGCGTAGGATAGTATAAAGGGAGAAAGTCGGTTGTGGTGTGCCGAGACCGACGATACGGTAGGCCTGTAAATAAAGAGGGCAAAAAGAATAATCAAAGATTTAATACAGTCAACAATATATACAAATTAACCAGACATTTCCTTAAATGCATTACGGTATTTAATTCCTGGAAGGATTTTGAAGGTAGGAATCTAGGACCGCAACTGGACACCATTTGTTGTGGGTAGGATAGTATGTTATCTCTACTGTTGGTGCGTGTTGACTCGTTTCAGAATGTGGTAGTGCCAATAGGTAATGATATATGTGTTTACATACGTGGGATCGTTGAAGACAATGATCTGTCTGAGTGGTGGTTATGGTAGTGGATTCTCTGGCCTGAGAAAGGCATAAAAGGCAGTGTGCATGGTGGTAATGGCCAACTTGGTAGTATAATTGAATGGTTGTAGCTCTAATAGGTCCGATAAGGATGGAAAAGTTGGATGGCTATTGGTAATATCTGAGAGGAACGTGGGGGGATGGATTCCTGAAAACCTCTGAGTATATTCTTGTCTGGTATGATAGCATGTAGTTATGGTAGTTTTGGCCATAGGTTATCCTGTGTTGTTGAATGCCTG